TGCCGATCGCACCTGTGCCATCAGAAGGATCCAGCCCGGCGCTCCTTGCGCTCGCCATTCTCCGGGCCATCGCTGTGTTTTACTGCTCAGCGATGCCGCTCCATCCGTTTGCGTGGAAGGAAGAGCCACGAGCACTGAGGCACTCAGCAGCCGTGTCATGCCAGCGATGTCGAGCGCTCTCTGCTCGCAAGGCTGAGCACGCCGCGGAGCCGCCTCCGCAGCCGCTCGTCCGCCCCCGCCCGCAGCAGCAGCAGCGGCCCGAGGGAGACGGCTGCAGCTCGGCGGCTCCCGCGCCTCCGCCAGCCCGAGGGCAGCCGCCGCACAGTGACCGCGGCTCCTGCAGCTCCCGGCCCGCGGCAGCAAAGCACCGCCTGGCGCTCCGCCATCGGCGGGCGGCAGCGCGCCCCGCCCGAGCTCAGCCCCCGCCACCGGGACCGCTGAGCGAGGCCGAGGCACCGGGCGGACGCCCCTTCCGCGCCGCTCGGCTCCGTGCGGGCGGCCGGACGGAGGCTTCGCCCCTCCAGCGTCGCTGCCGCGGCTCCGTCCCGCGCGGGACAGGCGCCGGGAGCTCCCCGCGCCCAGCCCGCTCCCCTGGCGAGCGGCCGCCTCGGGCCGCCAGCCATTCATATGGCGCGTCGGCCGTTGCGTCAGACGCCGCGCTTTACGGCCGCAGGGCCTGCCGGGAGTTGGAGTCTCGGACTGACAGCCACCGCTCCGTTCTCCGCCACCGGGAGCTGCGCTCCCGCCAGGGGATCAAACGGCTCCTTCGCTCCTGGGCGCGGAAGCACCTTAGGCAGCACCGCCCCTCCCGAATGTCCTTTCTTTTCCACTCCAACTCTTTTTTCTTTTTTTCACTCTGTTTTTCACCCCCTTTTCCACTCTCACTCCTCCTTTTTCACTCTCATCCTTCTTTTCTTTCTTCACTTTTCTTTCTTCCTTTCTCTTTTCTTTTTTTTTTCCCTTCTTTCTTTCTTTCTTTCTTTCTTTCTTTCTTTCTTTCTTTCTTTCTTTCTTTCTTTCTTTCTTTCTTTCTTTCTTTCTTTCTTTCTTTCTTTCTTTCTTTCTTTCTTTCTTTCTTTCTTTCCCTATATTTTTAATCTTGGCTTTCCATTCTAGCTTTAGAATAAAAAAGCAGCAGTAGAAACGTTCAGGCTACTTGGGAGTGAAAAAAACCCAAAAACGATAATGATTTAAGGAAAACTATTTTCTCCATGGGAGCCTGAAATTTTCTACAGCTGCAGGTGTCATAGAGCATTTATTTCTTCCTCTGTATAGTTTATACTTTATACTCTATTTATTCAGCGCCCCCTGCCGTCTGCATGGGCGCACTGCAGGCACAGCGCCCCCTGCCGTCTGCATGGGCGCACTGCAGGCACAGCGCCCCCTGCCGTCTGCTTTGTCGCACTGCAGGCACAGCGCCCCCTGCCGTCTGCATCGGCGAACTGCAGGCAGAGTGCCGCCTAATGACGTCAGCCCGTCGACACGGCGCCCCGCCCAGGACACGCCCACTCGGGCGGCCGTCGCCATCTTGTACGGCATTCCACGACGGCCACGGCGCTGCCGTGTTGTACGACACCCCGTGTCGGCCAGGGCGCTGCCAGCCTGTACGGCACAATTTTACAGCAGTCGTGCCTTACGGCACCTTTTGCAACAGTCGCGCTTTACGGCAGTTTTGCGAAAGTTGCGCTTTACGGCACCTTTTACGACAGTTGCGCTTTACGGCACCTTTTACGACAGTCGCACTTTACGGCAGTTTTTGCGAGAGTCGCGCTTTACGGCACCTTTTACGACAGTCGCACTTTACGGCAGTTTTTGCGAGAGTCGCGCTTTACGGCACCCTTTACGACAGTCGCGCTTTACGGCAGTTTTGCGACAGTCGCGCTTTACGGCACCTTTTACGACAGTCGCGCTTTACGGCACCTTTTACGACAGTTGCGCTTTACGGCACCTTTTACGACAGTCGCGCTTTACGGCAGTTTTGCGACAGTCGCGCTTTACGGCACCTTTTACGACAGTCGCGCTTTACGGCACCTTTTACGACAGTCGCGCTTTACGGCACCTTTTACGACAGTCGCGCTTTACGGCAGTTTTGCGACAGTCGCGCTTTACGGCACCTTTTACGACAGTCGCGCTTTACGGCAGTTTTGCGACAGTCGCGCTTTACGGCACCTTTTACGACAGTCGCGCTTTACGGCACCTTTTACGACAGTGTTGCTTTACGGCACCTTTTACGACAGTCGCACTTTACGGCAGTTTTTGCGACAGTCGCGCTTTACGGCACCTTTTACGACAGTCGCGCTTTACGGCAGTTTTGCGACAGTCGCGCTTTACGGCACCTTTTACGACAGTCGCGCTCTACGGCACCTTTTACGACAGTCGCGCTTTACGGCAGTTTTGCGACAGTCGCGCTTTACGGCACCTTTTACGACAGTGTTGCTTTACGGCACCTTTTACGACAGTGTTGCTTTACGGCACCTTTTACGACAGTCGCGCTTTACGGCAGTTTTGCGACAGTCGCGCTTTACGGCACCTTTTACGACAGTCGCGCTTTACGGCACCTTTTACGACAGTCGCGCTTTACGGCACCTTTTGCGACAGTCGCGCTTTACGGCACCTTTTACGACAGTCGCGCTTTACGGCACCTTTTGCGACAGTCGCGCTTTACGGCATTACCCTTTATGGAACTTTTATGGTACTTTACAGCACTTTACGGTTTTTATTTTGTTTTTAATTTATTCTTAATTTATTTTATTTTTTTAATTTTATTTTTTACTTAATGTTTATTTTTAATTTTTCTATTTTTAAAGCTTTTCATTTTATTTTTTAAATTTTATTTACTTATTTTTAATTTTTCTATTTTTAAAGCTTTTTATATTATTTTTCTAATTTTATTTTTTATTTCATCTATATTTCTAATTTTTCTATTTTTAAAGCGTTTTTTATTTTTCTAATTTTATTTTTTATTTAATCTATATTTCTAATTTTTCTATTTTTAAAACTTTTTATTTTATTTTTTATTTTATTTTTTATTTAATTTCTATTTGTAATTTTTCTATTTTTAAAGCTTTTTATTTTATTTTTCTAATTTTATTTTTTATTTATTTAGTATTTTTAATTTTTCTATTTTTATAACTTTTTATTTTATTTTTTTATTTTATTTTTTATTTTATTTCTATTTTTAAAGCTTTTTATTACATTTTTCTCATTTTATTTTTTATTTACTTATTTTTAATTTTTCTATTTTTAAAACTTATTTTATTTAATTTTATTTTTTATTATTTAATTTCTATTTTTAATTTTTCTATTTTTAAAGCTTATTTTATTTTTCTAATTTTATTTTTACTTCATCTATATTTCTAATTTTTCTATTTTTAAAGCTTTTTTTTAAATTTTATTTTTTATTTACTTATTATTTCTAATTTTTCTATTTTTAAAGCTTTTTGTTTTATTTTTCTAATTTTTTTTATTTACTTATTATTTTTTAATTTTCTATTTTTAAAGCTTTTTTTACATTTTTCTCATTTTATTTTTTATTTACTTATTTTTATTTTTTCTATTTTTAAAGCTTTTTATTTTTCTAATTTTATTCTTTTTTAATTTTAATTTTTAATTTTTCTTTTTTTAAAGCTTTTATTTAATTTTTAAATTTTTATTTAGTTATTTTTTAATTTTTCTTTTTTTAAAGCTATTATTTTATTTTTCTAATTTTTTTTATTTTTAATTTTTCTATTTTTAACGTTTTTATTTAATTTTGTAAATTTTATTTTTTATTTTTAATTTTTCTATTTTTAAAGGTTTTTATTTTTTTTTATTTAGTGCTGCCCAGACCAACTCAAGCTGGTGATTGTGGTGGTGTTTGAAGGTCTTGCATTACAGCACGATCTTTTATGGAACTCTTACAGCACTTTACAGTTTTTATTTTGTTTTTCATTTATTTTAAATTAATTTTGTTTTTTTACTTTTATTTAATTTTTATTTTTAATTTTTCTATTTTTAAAGCATTTTATTACATTTTATTTGGTGCTGCCCAAACCTGCTGTAGTGCATTTTTATACTTTATAATACTTTGAAGTCATTTTGTTTTGTATCCCCATATTTTTCCCAAATGGTTTATCCCAAACTGTACCCCCCTCCTTCTACCTGTGTTATCCCTCTCCCGGGATGAGATCATCCCCAAACCCCCACCCTGGCTCTCTGTCAATCACTCAGCCTCCCATCCCCTCCATGCAGAAGTTTCGGTCCAAGTCGTCCAGTGATCAGCCAGAGGCCAGGGGTCAGCCCCCCGAGCCTTGCCCCATACGCTGTCCTGTATGTCTATGCCCCAGCATCCATCCCTTAGGGTCACTTATTGGTCAGTAAAATGTTATCTACTTTGGGTTTCCACCTCCCTTTAAATGTAACCTTGGCACATCTCCCTGGGGCTCTTGGCAGGAGGCCCCTGAGGTGCAGGAGCTCCTTTGGGACTCCTAATAAAACCTTGGATTAACCCCTGCTAAGAGTCGGCCCTTTATCATCTACCGATGTCTCTGGTGTCTCTTGTGCTGCACAGGGGCCCAGCCCAGGTGCCCTCAGCACCCTCGGGGCACAGAGAGTGTCTCCCCCCAGCCCAGGTGCCCTCAGTTCCCTCGGGGCACACACAGAGAGTGTCTCCCCCCAGCCCAGGTGCCCTCAGCACCCTCGGGGCACAGACAGTGTCTGCCCCCAGCCCAGGTGCCCTCAGCACCCTCGGAGCACAGACAGTGTCTCCCCCCAGCCCAGGTGCCCTCAGTACCCTCGGAGCACAGACAGTGTCTCCCCCCAGCCCAGGTGCCCTCAGCACCCTCGGGGCACAGAGAGTGTCTCCCCGCTCTCGGCCGTGTCAGGGCTGCCCCCCGGTGTCCTGCCGACTCAGGACTGGCCGAGGGTTACTGAGAGGCTCGCACAAACCCGCTCAGCCGCTGATTGTGGCGGTGTTTGAGGGTCCCCAGGACGAGGGAAAAGACGAGAATCATGACTCCACCTTTCAGAAGGCTGAACTATTATTTTATGATCTCTATTATATTAAAAGAAAATGAGATAGTAGAACTATACTAAAAGAGCAAGGAGACATCAGAAAGCTAGAAAGGAATGAATAATAAAAACCTGGGACTGCTCACAGCCCCGACGCAGCTGGACCATGATTGGTCATCAAGTAGACACTGCACAGGAGTCTAATCCAAGATGCCCCTGTTGCTAAACCAACTCCAGCCCACACTCCACAGCCAGCAGATCGTTATTGGTTCCATTTCTGTTCTGAGGCTTCTCAGGAGAAAAATCCCAGCAAAAGGATTTTCATCAAACACGTCAGTGCCAGGTGATGGCACAGGCAGCATCGGCTGGCCGAGGTCACTGTGTCATCCCTGCCAGCCCAGGTGTCACAGCAAGGAGGAGAGAGTTCACCCTGTGCTCACCCTGCAATACAGAGCAATACAACACACATATTAACACAAGATGATAACCTTTTTCTATTTTCATTACATGTGGATTTATTGTTACAGGAAACCCAAAACAACAAAAGCACACAAAAAACAACACTCATCTACCATTAACACTCCCTTCAGATGACACACGAAGTCACCATCCCTCTCATCACAACTGCTAAATTACACCCCAGCAATCATTGGTCCTCGGGAACGTGGTTTCCGGGAGCCTCAAAAAAATCCTCCTGCTTGACAAAAACCCCAGTCCCTGGACAGTCTGCGCCCAAACTCTGGTGATGAACGTCACCTCACAGACCGACTGGGACCGAGAAAAAAAAAACAGCCGAGGGGGGGGGGGGGGGAACCCAGCTGCGGATTTTTTATTCTAAATTTAAAAATGAGTTGAAAAACTTGAAAAGCAAAAGTCACACACACAAGGTTAAATCCAGTAATCCAGTCGGCATGCGCTGACACATGCAGAGACGAGCAGACGCAGACAGACACAGACACGTGCTCTCACACATGCTCACACGCTCTTCCCACTTACACGCTCGCTGCGGCCCTTACTCGAGACGCTGAAGAACGTGCTGCGACACATCTTCTGGCTGCGCTCCTTGACGTCAGTTGGTAGGTTCTGGGGAAATCGGTAGCCTCGGGGACCTGTGAGATGACAGGAAGCGGTCAACGAGTGGCTATCTGACAGCTAGGACTTGTCTCCACTCTGAACCAATAAGTTTTCTACCCAAAATCCCATAAAAGACAGATGAACAGTAAAGTTTTTATAACTCTTCTACCTGACTGTGACTACGTGCCCGGGCAGGGCAGCTCCAACCATAAGTGGTACAATATAAGTACACACAACAATGTAAGTCGATGCATACAGTGCAAGTGTACATAGAGGGTAGGTACATACAGTATAAGCCAGCACAGGTACACACAATATAAGCCAGGACTTGAGATAACTCGCTGGAAGATGAATTCTTGAGTCCTATACCCTTCAGAAGATGGAACCTATAGAAGTACTGCAGTCACATGAGGAGGGTGCAAGACACTCCCTCTAGCAGTCCAAGAAAATGGCATGGAAAAAAAGGCACTACCAAAGCTGGTAGTGAGAAGGAAGATGGATGAGAACATCTTGTCCGTTTGAGACATTCCTGTCTCAAAGAGTAAAAATGTAAAGATGCCAGAATAAGGGATATCCAGAAAGGAACGTGAGTAGAATACAGCCTATACGGCACAGAATAGTGCCAATAAAGCATTGAGACGTAACAAAGGCCTATGACGTGGAAGACAACGGACACAGACACGGACAACACACAGACACGGACAACACACAGACACAGGTGACATAACACAGAGACAAGTGGCAACTGCCTGGCACTGTCCCCTTAGGCACCCGAGATGCCTAGCGCAAGATGTGCCAGAGGCTGATGATGCCAAAGGAGAGGAAGCCCTATGACGATAGCACGTGATGATGAAATGTAACTCGTTAAAAGAAGTTAGTGCCAAAGCAGTTAAGAGGATGCTCGAGAGGCTCAGCAAGCCTAGAGAAGGAAGCCGACGGCCAGGTGGCCGTGGCTATAGCTCCGGACGTGAAGGCGAGCTCCTCAGGGGAAAGATCCGTGACGACGTCGGGCCGAGGAAGGCGGACGATGCAAAGTTCACGAGAATCCTGAGATGGGTCGGAACTGCCCTGCCCAGCAAAGGCCCTGGCGAGGCTGAGGGGAAACCCTCTCCCTTTACTTCCAGAGAGCTGGTCCCACTACAGACCTCTCCGCTAAGCTGACATCAAATTGCCCTCTGTGATAGTAAAGGTTTTTCCCCTTCTCCCAACCACTGGCCCCAACACTTAGCTTTTGGAAAAGGAGCAGACAAAATCCATCCTCGGTCGGACGTGGATGTCGAAATGTGCTCCGTGTGTGCCTCGGTGCTGTCGTTTCCAACCTTTGGCTACAAACCTCCTCAAGTTACCTAAGACAAAACAGAAAATGTGACTACTGCCATCGAAAACAGTAATCCCCGGGACTCCTCCGCACCCCTGCCCCGGCTCACCTCAAATCTTGATTTGACTCCAGAGGGTGCCCAGAAGATACCTGCAAAGAGAATAGGTACACACTTAGCATGCTGCTGTGTAACACTCACCTATGAGTCAGCCTGCCTAAACCCCGACTCACCTGCCCTCCTAAGCTGCACACACCTGGAATGGGCATGCCCGGCCAGGATAGATGGCAAGTGGACCACCTAAAATAAAAAAAAAAAGTGGAGATGCTTAGAGCTGCACCAGAAACTGATACATCAGCAAAAACAACTGCTTCTGTACACTACTCAATGCTCACCTCGCCCACTCAGCCTTGACTTCCTAAAAAGAGAGACAAAGAAGACTGCTCTAACAGCCATCATTTATGCTCTCTCTACAGAGACAAACAGTGACTGACCTGCTCGGGGGAATCCCCTCACCCGGGATGGGGGGTTCTGCCCTGGATTTTATCCTTCTGCACCTGAAGGAAAGTTAGGACAAAAATCAAAGAGCTGCAGGATAACTTAAGAGCTCCAGACATCTTGTGCCCATCTACAAATCCCACCTAGAGTCCAACGACACCCCACATTACAAACATCAAGTCCCCGGGACTTCTCCTATTGCACCAGGCTATGCAGCAAGGCAGAGCAGCTCCAGCACAAATGTGTGCAGACACCCGTGACACAGGACAGGACAAACAACGGGGACACAACAGGAACAGAAATCTCTGGGTAAGGAAAATGACAGCGAGCACCGAGAGGACGCAAAATTAGAAGACTGAGGTGAAACTGATGGCGGGCTGATGAAGTTCAGAGAACCCTGGAGGAAGAAGATGCTAACTGAATGATTTATTCCAAGAACTGCAAAGATGGATGCCCGAGAATCCTACGGTCAGAAGCCTCTACCTGTCCCCACATTCTTACAAGTCCTAATCCATCATAACAGAACCTTGCAGGGTGCAGCTGTCCATACAGCTCAGAACAAGACCTGAAAAGACATCTGACCGGATGCTTCGAAAAAGAGTTGCCATTCTGATACCTGTCTGAGCTGCCAAGTTAAAAGTTCCATGGCATCAGTGCCAGGGCAAGGAACGCTGAGAGTACAGATGCTAAGACTGGTGCCAAGGTTTCTGACAGGCCCCTCAAAGGGCTATGATAAAAGACATGAGATATCCAACAACACATAATACACAAAAGACAAGTGACACAATACACACTGGGACTGCTCTGCCCCGCTCACCTCAGCACTGGGATCAAAAGTGAGATTTTGCTTTTATGGGGCCTAAGGGGCCGCTTCATGGACACTCCCCACCTCCAAAGCAGACTCAAATCCCCCCCTCCCAGTAATTCCCAAACCAGCACCCTGCTTTCATCCCCCCTGGGGGTCGTAGCCCTCTACTTCTCTCTCAGACATCTGGGGATGCTGGTCTCAGGTGCAAAGAAAGGCCACCTCGTCAGCTGGGAAGGTCCTGCTGGCACCGGGCTGGTATCTCTTCGACAGCTGTATTAAAGAAAACCAAACATCAATGCCTGATCGTGGCACCACATCGGCCAAAACCCCGCAAGTCTGCTACTCACCGTGCTCCTAAGAACGCTCAGCTGCTCGGGCCGCACCCTTCAGGCACACTCAGAGACCGAGGCCGTCGCCACAGGGGATGCCTGGGTTCAGAGGAGATGAGGTGATTTGGCACAGCTGAAACCTGAGTGGACCCTCACTCCTCCCCCCTACTTCCCTGACTCACCACAACTCCTCAGCACTTGCTGGAGGCCACCTGGATGGCACCTTTAAATAGAAAAGTTCAGGGTTTCATCACCAAGTCCTGTAATGCATCCACAGGGCTCACACATGCAGGGAACCCGGTGCATCGGCTGGCTGGTGACAGGGGCTTGGCATACTCCGAGTGGATTGCCTAAAGTGCACAAACGAGAATGGAAGCTTAGAGCTGCACCAGAAATTGAGACCTGAGCAATAACAACTACTGCTCTCCACTGCTCACCTTGACTGCTGGTATCCACATTTGCTTCCTAAAAAGAAAGACAAAGAACAGTGCTGTAACAGAGTCACCATATACACTTCTGCTGCAGAGACAAACGGTGCCTCACCTGCTTGGGGGAAACCCCTCACCCGGGATGGGGCCCTCTGGCACACATTTAATCCATCTGAATCTGAAAAAAAGTTAGGACAAAACTCAAACTGTTGCAGGATAACTTAGGAGCTCCAGACGTCTTGTGTCCATCTACAAATCCCATCTAGAGTCCCACTACACCCCACATTACAAACTCCCAGGGACTTCTCCTACTGCACCAGGCTATGCGGCAGGGCAGAGCAGCTCCGGCACAAATGTGTGTGCTGACACCCGTGACACGGGACGGGACGTGACAGACAGGGGGGACACAACAGGAACAGAAAGCTCCTGGCAAGGAAAGTGGCTGCAAGGACTCAGAGAATGCAAAAGGAGATGACCAAGATGAGACAGATGGCAAACTGATGAGGCTCAGAGAACCCTGGAGGAAGATGCTGGCTGAATGATTTATTCCAAGAACTGCAAAGATGGATACCCAGGAATCCTACGGTCAGAATCCTCTCCCTAACCTCGCATTCTTACAAAGCCTAATCCGTTGAAATGGAGCATTGCGGAGCACGGCTGTCCGTGCAGCTCAGAACAAGACCTGAAAAGCCACCTGACTGGATGCTTCCAAAGAGAGATGCAATTCTGATGCCTGTCTGAGCTCCCAAGTCAAAAGTTCAATGGCCTGGGTACCAGGCCAAGGAATGCAGAGATTACAGATGCTAACAGTGATGCCAGGGTTTCTGCTAGGCTCCTCAAAGGCCTAAAGTAAAGGACATGACACATCCAACCACACAGAACACACAATAGACAAATGACACAGTACACACCGGCACTGCTCTGCCCTGCGCACCTCAGCACTGTGATCAAAAGTGAGACTTTGCTTTTATTTCCCCCCCAGGCCTAAGGGGCTACTTCGTGGACACCCCCGTCTCCAAAGCGGACTCAAAAACCCCTCCCGGTGGGTCCCTGCCCTGCGCCCTGGTTTCATCCCCTCTGTGGGTCGTAGCCCTCTACTTATCTCTCAGACATCTGGGGATGCCGGTCTGTGTCAGGTGCAAAGGAAGGCTGCCTCGACATCTGGGAAGGTCCTGCTGGCACTGTTGTTAAACAACTTCCTGTTGTTTCTTCGTCTGCTCCAATAAAGTAAACAAAATATCAATGCATAACCTCAGCAGCACATCGGCCAAAACCCAACAATTCTGCCACTCACTCTTTTCCCAAGAATGCCCGGCTCCTGGGGCCGCACGCTTCAGCCGCACTCGGAGGCTGACGCCATCGTCGTGGGGCACGCCTGGGCTAAGAGGAGACGAGGTGATGTGGCGTTGCTGAAACCTGAGCGGAGCCTCCCTCCTCCTCCCTACTTCCCTGACTCACCGCAACTCCTCGGCCACTGCTGAAGGCTACCCTGGTGACACCTTTAAACAGAAAAGGCAGAGGCTTCATTGCCGAGTCCCCTGATTCTTCCACAGGGCTCGGGAGAGCAGCAAACCCGGAGCATCGGCCGGTTGGTGACTGGGACTTGGCGTACTCCGAGTGGATTGCCTAAAGCGCAGAAACAGGAACGGATGCTTAGAGCTGCACCGGAAAGTGAGACTGGAGCAATAACAACTGCTTCTGTACGCTACTCAATGCTCACCTTGCCCATCTCACCTTGACTGCTGATGTCCAGCTTTGCTTCCTAAAAAGAAAAAGAACAGAGCTGTAACAGAGTCACACTTTACACTCTCCCTGCAGAGACAAACGGTGACTGACCTGCTCGGGGGAACCTCCTCACTCGGGATGGGTGGATGGATTTTGCTCTGGATTTTATCCTTCTGCATCTGAAAGAAAGCGAGGACAAACGTCAAAGGGCTGCAAGATATCTTCACAGCTCCAAACATCTTCTGTCTATCTAGGAATATCATCTAGAGTCCGGCGACACCCCACAAACTGCGTGTCCCTGAGCCTTGTCCTGTTGCAGCAGCCTCTGCGGCAGGGCAGAGCAGCTCCGGCACAAACATGTGCAGACACCCGTGACACAGAACGTGACCAACGGGGGGACGTTAAACACGACACATTATGCTTGTGGTGAGGGCCTCGAGGGGAAAAGGCAAAAGGGACCCCAAAGACACAGTAGGTAACACGGTACACCCGACAACACGACGTGGACCGGAACTGCTCTGCCCTGCCCGCCTGCACACTGACATCAAATGTGGAGTCTCTCCCTTTAGCTGTCCTAAGAGGCCCCTTGGAGAAGATTGCTTTTCCCTCTGCTAATTTTTCAATCTGTCCCAAGAACTCCCAACCTGCTACCCTCCCATCTCCAGGCCATGGCCCCCGACTTATCTTTTGGATGATCAGTGATGTGAATCCACGTTGCACCTGAAATGAGTCTGCCTCGGAGGGCCCCGTGATGGCCTGTTAGCCTCTCGGTCAGCTACAATAAAGAAAACCAAAACCAATGTATGAGTTCAGAGTTATGTGGGCCAAATCCCAACAAGTCAGCTACTTGCCCTCTCCTGAGTGTGCCTGGCTCTTTCAGGCTCCACCTTCATCCTGATTCCAAGGCTGTGGCCTTTATTATCAGTGGCACCTGGGTTAGAGAAAAGCAAAGTTAAATGGCATTCCTGTGAGTGCAGTGGATGACCTTGTGTGAGGAAAACATGGGAATGCCTCTGCTATGCTTCTGAAAAGCCTTGTGTGGGGGGGCCCTCAAATAAACACCCTTTCTCACCCTGCTGCCTGCAAACCCCCCTGCCCCCCAATAACTCCTAACTGGATACCTGCTCACCCTCCCTCTCCCAGTCACAACCCTCAACTCACCTGAAGCCTCAATCTCAAACATCATTTTTAACACTGGGCAGATGCCTCCTGTGACATGATGAATCTGCTGAAAGAAGTGCTGTGCTTGACACAACCTGGGATCTCTGGAAGCTGTGCACCTCCTAAAAACAATAAAAACACAAAACAAGAACAAAACCAGAAATTGCAAATGCTCTTTATCACCCCTAAACACAAAATCCAAAATCGTTACCTTAAATACTCCCTGCATTCCCTGCCATTTTCTTCACAGGATCTTCCAAGCCTCTATTGCTTTAGATACCCAGAAACACCTGCTGAAAGCAAGCTAAGCTAAAAGAGGC